AGCCGTCTCGTACCAGTTAATAAATTTTTTGTATAAATTTACAACACTCGATCACTTTGACGGTTTTCAATTCCTTTCAGGATCAACTGCCTTGGATAATTACAGAACACCTCGAAGTCTTTAATCGCGCCTCCAAGTGAGGTTGGTCAAAGACCATTCAGAAAAAGAGTTTACCGAGGCTGATGGAATACTTCAACCATTAAAATGAATGTTGCGTAGTTATAGATTTACCTCGCCAAACGAAAATATGATCGCTGATAATTGCTCCTTTGACCGATCATTATAAAAGTTTGAAAAAAGGAATTTCACTTAGTTTTATACCGCCGTGTGAATCTCATCCCTCTTGAGATTTTCAATAACAACTGTCTACTTAAACGAAGAAAAAAAACACTTTTAAAATCTTGTCCCCGCCATATATGTCAATAAAGACGAGACCCGCCCGAATAGCCTAAAAACAAATGAGAATAAAACTGTCTTAATTCTTGACTCGTACTATAATAATACTAATTTAAATTTGTAAAAAAAAAATCATTTGAAAGAGAGCACTTTACCGAAGTGTCCGTAAAAAATAACAAGTGACAATTCAGAAGGAAATCCAAGCGAACTCCAGCAGATACCAATCCGATTACAGCTTCTAAACTGACAAAAAAAGATACCACCGTTTTTAAGTTACTTTATATTTTGACTTTTATACTTCATTACTCTTTTAACCACTCTGTGACCCAAAGGCTAACAGAAACTTAAGATTTAGTAAAAACTTTCTACAACTGCATTTGTTCTGGAGGTTTTTGTTGCACAGTATCAGGGATGACTTAGCCGAAGGTTGATTTTAATAAAAAATGTAAATGTATTTGCTCGAAACACAAACATTAATGACCTCTATATTGGACAAAGACGCAAAATTTATTATGGGGTAATGGCGCGTTTTGGCTTTCGCGTGGCTTTTTTGTTCCTTAGGGACTTGTCAGAAATTATCAGGGGAGGAGTGGGAGTGGGCATATTAAATAAGGGTTCGGAAATGAGGTGATCCATCCCTGCAATGGGAGTAAAATTTGCTAACCCTCCCCTTGAGCTTGGCCTAAAATATCATGACCCTCCCCCTGTTATATAAATGATAAAATCTAGTTCTTGGAATACACTAGGGTGAGTCAGTATTATAAAAACTCAAAATATATTTCTAATCTGTTCTTTGTAATGCTACATACATACATTTTAAATGACAGCATTAAGAGTCCGACTCTGATTCTGACAGCTGATCACTCGACTCTCCTACGTTTTTTTACCAAATAAAGAACTTCCTTTTTCTTCTGTGGGTGAACCTCTATATGATCACGGCCATATATTTGCATGACCCGCTCCCTTTTAACGGCCCATTTTTTATGACCCCTCCCTTTTCTGAGTCTCAAAAAGTTGTGGCCCTCCCTCTGTTTCCACCCCCACCTCCCCCCTGCTCATTTCTGACAAGTCCCTTATTTTGAGCCAACGGGGAGTAGCCTGCGAGCAAGCTCTCCTATTTGGGCAAGCGAAGCGAGCCTCGCGAGAACGCCCAAATAGGAGAGCTTGCTCGCAGGCTAACTGGGAGTTGCTTTCCCAGTTTAATCTGTTCAAGGATTGTACGCGTGTGTAACGAGTTGAGTGTGCACAAATAATCAAAAAATTTCAGTAGTCCATGCTTTAACATGCCTAGCAAACTTTTCCGGACGAATTCTCCCCAATTTTCGCTCAGAATCTCCTGCCGACAAGTTACCTGTCCTTCAAAAAGTAGCCTGCGTAGCAAGCGTTTCCGTTTGGTTTCGGAGCAAAGAAAGACCGAGGAACGGGATTCTCGGTTTTGGCCGCGCGAGAAATGCAACAAAGAGGTGATTAACAATTCTCGGAAATACAGGATGTTGATGTTTTTTTTATTCTTCCATCAAACCATCAAAACATGTCAAGAAACTCTCTTTGATTGGCTAATAATACAGAGTTTAGTCTGGGTCACAAGACAACAACAACAACAACAACAAGTTTATTCAGTATTACCATTTTTACAGGTGTTACCGATTAAAATAACAATAATAAACAACTAAATTTAAGGAAATGAAGATATGATGGAACGGTAGAATTAACTATGTTCCTTTCGTCTTTCAAATGCTTGAAAAATGAAATTAGCAGCTAGCCTGCTGATATGTGAATCAGTATTGTTAAAAAGAAAACAGACTTTATCATGGATATTGTAATTTGTAAATAATGTATTTCGGTCGTTGATTTTAATAAAAAGAGTCTTTCTCAAATCGTTGTATTGATCACAGTGAAATAATATGTGCAGTTCATTTTCAACTGAATTTTGGTTGCAATGATCATTGTTCATTAGCAAAGCCATTCCCTTGATCCGACAAAATTTTTGTAAAGTAACCTTGATTCCGAACCTTTTCCATGGATATAAAGACCTTGCTCGACAATCTTCATGATGAAGTATCCTGTTCTGTGTGTATGTGTACATTCACTGATCCAAAGCAGTTGCCTTGTTTGCACAGTTTCTGTCTTCACTGCCTGAACGGAATTCAACGAACGAGCGGCGTCCGTGGTAAAATTACGTGCCCTGAGTGCAGAAGACAGTTTCAGATTTCTGGAAGTGGAAATCCCAGCGAACTTCCCACCAATTTTCGAATAAACAGCTTGCTAGATGTCTTGGCAATAAAAGAGTGTAGTACAGCGAACGTGAAGTGTGGAAACTGCGATAAAAGGAGTGCCCAGACTTCGTATTGCTTCCAGTGTTGTTCCTTCTTAATTACCAGATAATTATCAACTACTATGAGTTTTATAAACATCGTTTTTTCACTCTAAAATGAGGAATTTTATAACACTTTCGATTGAATAGGTTGTCGTAGTGGAACTGAAGAGGTTACCGTTGCAAATTGACTTTGAAATGCTCATAACTACTCGAACAAAAACACGTACTTCCGTCAGAAGAAAAGCTTAAATAGGAACATCAGTTCCTTAACAATGGAACGCCACTGGCCACAACTAGTCCTAAATAAGAAATTTGCCACTATGTCGGAGAGAAAATTGCCGTCACATATTGATCTTGGTCTTATTTTATTATGATAAGTTCACGCGCGAGTTCCATGGTCCTTACCGCGAGTAACCTGAGATCAGGCGGTTTTTTTTTTTTTTTTTTTT